TGGCTGAATAACGTAAAGATTTACCAGTTACATGACAGACGAATTTCGCCACACCAGTGAGGCACATATATAGCGGAATAACGTGAGGATATACCAGTTACAGGACAGATGAATTTCGCCACATGGCCGCACCAGTGATTTACAAATACGGCGGAGTGAGGATATACCAGTTACAGGACAGATGAATTTCGCCACATGTCCGCACCAGTGACTTACAAATATGGTGGAATAACGTGAGGATATACCAGTTACAGGACAGATGAATTTCGCCACACCAGTGAAGCAGGTTAAGTCCTGCATTGTGTGCAGTAAGAGTACATCAGGACATGTGCGTTTAATGAAAAATATAGCTTTAAAAAGTATTTACGTAGACATTTTATCCGTGTTGGACGTTAAATTCCCCAGCCTTGACAACATTTATATCTGTGATACATGTCTAACAATAATCACAAAAACTAGAGAACTTCGTGAAAAATGCAAAATGAACCTAGCTAATCTGTCCTTACATCAAAATAGACAAAAGAGGGTCATTGTTCATTCTGTTTCCCCCAAAGTGAAACGAGTTACGTCATTGAATACCACTACCAGAAAATGTGGAAAGAAATTATTTACTTCTTATCCCGAGTCTGATAATGAAAATAAAGAAAATCTAAAAGAGTTCAGTGAACACAGCTATGCAGGCCAGCCCAAGTTGAATGTGGAAGAGCTGTATGTCAAACACCATCCTTTGACCTTAAAATGTCCTATTACAGATGTTACAAATAGTAATAACCCAATGAACAAGGTTATGGAAATTATTTCCTCGGGTATTACTAGTTTGCGTGACTTTGTTGACAAAGTTTTACTTATACCTGGTGTTCGTGAAGCATTTTGGTCAAAATTTGTGATGGATTTAAATCATGAAATAGACAGAATGTGTGTCACAAGTGAAAAAAGTGTTTTGAGGGAGAAAATTGTTGACATTTCGCCAGAGCTGTTTGTTGAAAATGTATGTAGAGAAATGGACCAAAGATGCCCCCGTGTGTTTGATATTCTAGTCAGTCTGTGCACACCAGTACACATCAAATCAACGCAAAAGAATCCCGCCGTTGCTGCGATGTACAGCATTGCTTTAAATGCAAGGAACAACCAAATGAATCTAATGCAAAAGTTATTGTCTGCTGCATGCATCAGATATGGTGCAGGAAATGGGGTAAGCAGATTTTTTTTTTTCAAACAGTTTTTAAGATGTTTTAGACATATTATGTTTGACTATGAGCCTCGGCTGACAATGGTTTTCTTGGGGCGAAAATTTTCAATGTTACACTTAACTACTTGCAATATTTGTTATTATACTAAAAGTTTTATATAAATACATATAACAGTGAACCTTGCACACTTGATTTCTGTGCAGTAACTATATTTTGGAATATCACCCGTTGTTAATCAATGTTGACTGTTGCTACACTAGAGGGTATAACTTCATCATTCATCGGTTAATAGTGTATTTTAACAAATGTTTCTTGGCAATCAGATTCAATTAGTTTACATGAAAGTATAATATTATTAATTAATTCTAACTCATTTTCATAATGCTCATCTAGATAGCCAAGGGTGATGATACAATGTCCCTCTTTCACCATGTGTTGTGACCAGCAAATATAATTATGGGCTGGTACTTAAAAGAGCTCCCTTTTTCTTTCAGTTGTTTCACCTATTAAGCAGGATGGGCATTTCCCTTCCAGAGAGGAGCAAGATACCCATGTTGTCTGATATTGGCCTTATCAATGGGAAAGGTGTATGTGCAGCTCTGACAAATGGTAGGACTATTAAAGTAACGGTGGATAACATAGATGGCAGAATTAAAGCTAATCAGGTATTACCACATGTGATATTAACACATTGTTAACACAGCACATTTCAATTAACTTAAACTAGGAAGAAAATTAATTAAAGAATGAATTATATTATTTTTATACGGTATAAACTTGGTTGGGGCAGTTTACGCTTTATAAACCGCAAAGCGTTTACTGTTTAACCCAGTTCATACCATATAAAATGGGTAGCTATTTAATTCATTCCTTATAATTTAATTTTCATTCATTTGATGTAAGAAAAAAAGATGATAGTTCTCACAAAATATTGACTTCAAATTGTACAAAATTTGAATGTAACGTCAGGCGGATTGATATGTTTTTGATAGTCATTGTGATGTAGGCAACTCATTTTATAGGATACAAAATAATTTCTTTTATCCAATCAAATACATTGTTACAACCAGAAATTATTAGTTATTGATTGGACATTTCTCACTAAAAGGATTTTATTGAAGGTTCGTGTTGGCAGTGGGAATAAAGATTACCATTATACACACTGGACAGTACTTGTGGACAGGTTACTACCTATAGATGTCCCAGAACTCGGCAGACAACCCAAGGTCATACCACCTGATGGACTAGACCCAAATCTCTTCTTTTTGTCAGATGAGGAGTGTGCCGTTCTCAAGCAAGTTCATAATTCTATTTTCCCCTTCTGAGATTGGAAAATTTCAAAGATGTAGCATTTATTAACAGCATTGAAATTCCAATTCTAATACATGTACATTAATTTATTAGCATGGAAAACTTGTCACAGTTTTAGGTAAAAGGCTTTTTGTAAGAATTTCATTGCATTACCAGGGGTATATATATATATTAGTATTAATCTTTCCAGGAGTAGTTACACCTGGCTGGTGGAGAAGATCCTTACCGAAGAGTTTACGTCTCTTTCTGTCTTCAAAGACAAAGTCCCCAGTGTCCTAGAACACCGTTATAGATGCATAACTGACAGGGCTTCCCTTGTGCACCCAATGTTTGTAAGTGTGGACTTTTATTTTTAACTTTGCACCTTGTTTGAACAAACAAAACCATAGGTTTGGAAAACTTATGAACCGACATCTACATTTTAAAAAAATTCTGCAAGGATAAAAAATATAATAAAAAAGTATACATTGACAGGTTATAATGAAGGATCCTAAATATTTGCCAAACTGTGTGGAAATCATGAGCATCATTCATGATACACTTAAATCATTTTATCATGATGCACAGAGAGGTACCAATGTTCAACTTGTTGAATGTTCTAGTTTAATTTTTTCCGTTGTTTCAAATTGTTTGTTTATTGTTATACATGTCACATTTTATAGTGACTTACCACTTATGTATGTTTGAAACACTCCAAACAAAAATTGTTGAAAAGAGATTTTTAGGGTGATGTTTTAGTATGATAATTTTCACTTCTTTATATATTTTCAATATTGATTGGCTGTTTATGAAAATATTGTTTTAAAAATATTGCTTTCCCTTATTAGATTTGAAACAGAAATAAAATCTAAGTATCATTACATTTGCTCAATATTTAAAAAAGTTAACTGTTTCAAGTTTAATATAGCTATAAAGATCCACCGTATAAAACGAGGCCCCGTGTCACAGCAGGTGTGGCACGATAAAGATCCATATCATATACCTAGTAGTGTATCAGCCCTGATACAGGCATTTTGGACTAGGCGAGACAGCTCCTCGGAAGAAGGGCTGTCTCGCCCTCGGGGCTGAGATATCTCTGTCTCGGCCCGTCGTCAAGGGGCTGTCTCGCCCTCAAATTTCAATCCATTATTTCTGTTTAATTTGTGTGAATTAAGAGTAAAATTCATATTTATGTATTAAAGAGAAATATATAAAGATAATAACAATATATTGAACAAGATCGAAAAATAAATATTTTCTTTGGTTTTAGTTATATGATATAAACAACATCACAATACTGTTATTGAACAATTTGATCGAAAAATAAATATTTGTTTTTACTCTGTTTCTTATTTTATTATTATTATTTTTTTGATCTTTCTTCCTGGGTACTTTTTTGCACACAAGTAGAAAATACAGCAACGGTTTTTATCCACTGGTGAAATGTTTTTGTCAGCTAGACATGTTATGTAGATTTGATTCATTTTGCGCGCACGTGCAGTTCACACACACTGTTTAGAAATGATTTTTAATTGATTGATAGGCGTAACTTTTTTAATTGTTGAAAATGCTTTGGAGGATATATTACTAAAAAAGCTGTTTCACTTCAACATGGTCAAAATACAAGATCTCACGCGCATGCGCTAAAAATGATTTCTTGGCACAAAAGTCCAACAATTTCGGGCTGCATTAAATCAAAACAACAAGATATATAGCAATTATCATGAAAACACTGCATCTTGCAAGAAGAATTTTATTTATTTTTGTTCTGATTGGCAAAACCTAAAGATATAGTGGTTACTGAAAGGGTGAAAACCAAAACAACATGCTCTCACATGCATACACGTGCATGTACGGCGCTGCAATCTGATTGGCTGAAACTTTAAACAGATATAACGCCAGTCTCTTGGAAATATCGTTCAATTGTGGGATTTGTGGCTAGATGTGACATCTACATGCACAAGAAAGCATGGTCACCATGCTCATGTATGCACGTACGTGCATCGTGAAATGTTCAAAGCATACTTTTGGATTAAATGCTTTAATATTTCAGTATATAAAAATATGAGTTGTCATTACGCAATATCATGCATATAAAATTTGAATGAACTTTGTACATAAACAATTGAGTCTCAAATGCATAGAAGAGTTTGTCATTTATTTAATGAATTTGTGTGTGTTCAACTGATACATGTACACACAGTGCGTTACAATTAGCACTGCTATACTCCAAGGCCCTGCCTACTAGTTGAAAACATAAACATGATAAGCAATCAACTGATAATTGCTATGCTTACTCCAATAAATGATAGTAATTATGTTAATAAAAATAAAATTCGCTGCAATGCCTGTTTTACATAAGTAACATAATTTATGGTCAATCTGAATATTGAGGTCTTATTTTTGTTGAAACTTTTCAGATAATTAATTCAATATTTATTGTTCATTTTCTGATTATAAATTGATATTGTATGCTTCCATGAGGAAGGCCATTTTCTTTTAACAGTTGTGTAACAAGAGTTCAATTTATTAATATTTTAATGATTTTACCAGAACATATTTATGATCATCATAGAGACAAGTAAATTTCATTTATGTTATTTCTTATACAGATTTGAATAATGTTTCTTAAAATTTTCAGAACAATACATTCAAACAGATGATTGAATTTTATTTATTTTTGATTTCATAGAGGATGAATTTGAAAATACGGCAACAATTCCACTGGGTGGTGACCAGCTGACGAGGGTTACGTTTGATTCGGCACGCAGTCTGAGGGCTGGAGCACACAGTCGATCAGATCGTTTAGAACAGTTTTCACCAGTTATTGAAGAACTGTTTCATGTGGAACAGGATTTACTTGAGGTATGAATCCTAGAGGATATATGTTTCACTTCAACTTCAGACACTTGAAGCTTCCTGGCCATGATTTGAATCACAAAAGTCACAACAATTTTGATTTCCCTGAATAGGTTGAAAACCAAAACACTCTAGCATCACAGCTCTCTTGCAAGAAGATGTGTTTTTGCAATATTTCACTATTGCTTTGTCAATCCCTGGTCGGTTTGATCTGATGTCAGTGTTGTTGTAGTAAAGCGTAGCATAGCTGGGTTCACCATCCCGTCCTGCTCTGCCAGTCTCTTGGAAATATCTTTCAATTGTTGTTGGAGGCTTGTAGTGAATAACATGTCTGACATGCAAGGCATTTAGTCCCATTCCTAGTGCTACAGTGCTCATCACAAATCGAATTCTGCTATCAGCTTTGCAAATTTCCTGCACAATGAAAGATTTCATTTTGTCAGTATAGGTTTGGTGGTATTGTGCGAAGATTCTGTTTTCAGGAATAGAGTCACCAATGTACTGTCTGTTGCCCAAATTCTTTTCTAGATATGTATAACTGTAGCTTATAACACTCGTATCTGTATACATGATAGTCAACGGGTAGTTCTGCTTCTCTGTGGCAAGCCCCTCCATAATTGGTATTAGAATCTCTTCTAAATGCTCCACAGTTTGGCTAGATGGTGGTCGCATAATAGTGCTGTATTTTATGTTTGGCCTGTCAGGGTTAATGGAAATAACTTGCGGATTTCGGAGATTAAGATTCCTTATAATTTGCTGTTGAGCCTTTGGAGGAGCAGTGGCAGTGAACACCATTACAGGGATGTCTGGAAATCTTGACAACAAGTTTTCTCCTATCCTGGAAAAATCCTTTCGAAATTCAGCTCCCCTAAAACGTAGAAAATAGTTTTAGTTTATTTCATATTCACTGGGGTATCCCTGATGGGACGTTAAATTTCTTTCATTGGTAACACTTTTTCTTAAAATTCATTTATATCATGTATATATTTACTTTTTTATTTGGTCGGGGGGGGGGGGGGGAGGCATTGAACAAACTCTAGGAGGAGAAATTAATTAATTAAATCATTAATTTTAATGATGTGTCACACAAGTATGGTAAGTGGTGTCACACAAGTATGGTAAGTGTTGAAGTAGGGTCTGGTGTTGAGCTCCATGTGTACTATTCATGTTCCTTTAAAGTAATAGAAGAATGTATTTTTACATTTGCTTAAAAGTGGAATATTATTTATGTGTATATATTGTGCTGTGTATGTTTGTTTGTGTTAATATATATGAATTTATTTTTGCAGAAAATTGTGAACCACTTCTTTTCAAGCAAATCATCAAGGGAAGTAGGAACTCTGGCAAATTATAAAGCAGTCTTACATAGAACAAATGTAAATGGCCAAGTCAAGTCTACAAATGGGTTTGAACCCCATAAGGATTTTGTACACACAGTTGTAAGGTAAGCTTATTGATTACTTACTTTGAAACGCTTTCCTTTTTATGCAAATTGATTTATTATTTCTCTATGAATATTTTCTATGTAAAATTAGAACGAATCAATGTGCATCAGGTATATAATTATATAATAGTGTTGCATTATGCATGTACTATGCCTAAATATTAGGCAGGGTTTGACACATGGTGCACGAGCCGGAGGCGAGTGCAGTATGTGTCAAACCCTGCCTACTATTTAGGCATAGTACATGCATAATGCAACACTATTGTTATTATTATAAATGCTGACTGTTTTAATTATTTATGCAGCAATCCATTTGACTTTTTCCTGAAAATATCGGTGCTAACACAGCGCACTTGCAAGAACTCATTCAATTGTTTAAATTTATTTGTTATTTTACAGAGCATTGGTAGTTGAGTTGATGTGTGAAAAGCAACAGATACAGAGTAAAACATCAGATATCCAGATGCCAGAGCATATCAAAGTGTGGAAAACAGCCAAAAAAATGGAATGGTTAGACAGTTTTGTTGAACCAGTAGTAGATACCATCATGAACACCTACAAGGCTCCAGACATGAGTGATGTGGAGATACCTGTCCTGTACAAGGGTGGTTTATACATGCTAAAAATACCAGCTTCTTCCAGAGGGAGGAAAATAGATGTAAACATTAATGGTAAATGACAATTTTGATTTTTTAAAAGGGTTCACTTTCTTATGATTTTTGAATATAAGTATTGAAAATAATTTATTAATAACAACGTTTGTGCAAGGACTTTCGCAACTTACTCTTTCTTTTTTTTACTACAGGGGACAAAGTTAGAATAGATGTACCGCCGGAAGCAAGGAGTCCTGTTCATGTCGGTGATGACGTTTACAACTACTCACTCAGCTTTTTACGGGCAAGCATGGATCTGATGCTGCTCCACTATGTAATAAAGGCTGGAGATATTGACAGATTGACACTTTTGATGAAACGTTTCATTCCTTTGTTTATAGGACTGACATCCTTCAGATCGAAATATGCAATTGAATGTGTTAATTTTCTAGCAAAAACAGAACATATTCTTTCTGAGTTCGAAAGTGTACGAGTGAAGTTAGGTGCATTTGTCAATGTTTCTGGAGAACCTGGTAAGAACAAGGCAGCAGATATGCAGCAGGAAAATAACATTAAACAAGTCAAGAATGTCATTAGGAGCTTAGGTGCAAGTAAAACGGACAAGGCCATGGAAAGATCATCAAAGGCAGCTCCTGTGATATGTGAAATGATTTCTGATTTGGAATCATCGCTTGGCATTACTACCAACAGTAAGAGAAACAAGAAGTCTTCTGTTGAAGACCTGTCTGTTTTATTCGACAAAATGAGACAGTTGAGACCTTTTGAAGTGCATGTGAACAGAGCATTGCCTTCTTTTTCGGGGTCTTCAGACAATGTTGTTAACAATGTAGATAAATTCAAACTCCGAGATTTCATTACAAGGCACAGTAAACGGGCTTTAAACCGAACTGCATGTGATCTTAATAATGAAGAACAGGATTTTGAGGTTTAGTTACTCAGCATTTCACAGTTAGTTACATGCATTTTATAAGCAATGAATGCAAGTAGCTTGTTTATATTTGTCGTGAACTAATTTTTTTTGATTGATATAAACAATAATATGCAGCAATTATCATCATGTTAGTCTGTTTTGACATATTGACTTAATGCAATACCTATCTTAAAACTAGTAATATTGATGATCATTACATCTTAAGATATATATTAATCTTCCTATATTAATCATCATAATTTCCCTGTGATTTTGTTTGTCGATTAATTAGACTTATGTATCATTCCTGCTACTTAAGGATTTTCATTTCAATAATTTATGACCATTTTACATTGCACATGAAATTGTATTCCTAGTACATGTAGTAAACAAGTGACATATATTCCTTTGTGACTTTTGCTAAGATTAGGGAAATGAATTACTTGCTAGTTGAGGTATGTTCACAGCATTGCATTTATAACATCAATATGACAATACCTACATGTTAGGCCTTTAAATTCTTATCATTGCATGATTGATGACAGATATTAGATATATTCATCCTGGAATATTATATGAAGAAGGGGTACAGATATGTCTTATCTTATCAATGTATAATGTTATATGTATGACTGAATGTTCTTGATGGTAATAATACTAAAGAAGCTAATTGAAAAAGTAAGATAAACATTGTTATTCCTTTAAAGGCTTTTCAATGGGAACAGCTTTTACAGTTTATGACACCTACATGTTTTGTTTAATATGATTTTGATAATAAATTATTCTCTGCAAGAAAAATTGATTTTTATTCTGGTTAAGCAGAAAAAACAATTAATATATAGTTAAATATATAGGGTAACTCTTTTCTAAAAAAAAAAAAGGAACACGAAATAAAGCTTCTGAAGATTTGAAATGAAACCGCATAAACTAAAGGTTTTCGTGTTTCTTTTTTTTAAAGGTTTACCTGTAAACTTCCGAATACTGTAAATTTTTTTGTTGTTTCAATGTTGAATATATTATTGACACCCCTTCTGTATGTTATATAAAGAGGGAGTATATAGGTATTAGTCTTATTAATCATGATATATGTATGATTTATTGATAAAATTCAGAGGCCTAGGAGAAGGACTGATAATTTCTATACTGTCAACAAAGTGATTTCAAGAATAATATTGTATCCTACCATTCTAGTATGATGTGAGCCTCATCAATTGCAATGCACACAATCATTTCACTTTTCTGAAGCTGCTTTAGTAGTCTCTCGCCTTGGGCACAGCTAAGCAGTGCCTCGGGGTGTGCATATATGAGGGAATACTTCCCTTCTAGTATGTCTGAAATGGGGGCAGTTGTCAGGATTTGATTGTCACAGTCAGCATCATCCCCGCTCTCATCACTGTCCCTGTCGAATTCAAATGTCTGGGCCTTGCTACAAGAGTAGTCCAGGGAGCATGCTGATATTCCCATTGAATGTAGGGCCTGAATTTGATTTAGCATGATACTGTTCAATGGAGTAATTATCAGACCTACACTTTTAGAGGCCGGAATGCCCCTGCTCCGCATAATCACTTGGGGAGCTAATTGAAAAATTAAGCTTTTCCCATAACCAGTGGGAAGAATCGCCACTATGTCTTTACCTTCTAGCACTGAGGACAAACACAGAAGTTGTTCTTCTTTAAGTGGCTTTTCAAAGCCAACAGCTTTCGCAGTTTCTCTTATAAAATCCATCCATAAACAAACACGTGTTGAAATCAAAACGAAAATGAAAGTAGAAAAAAATCCGAGTTTATTCAATTATTTATTTCGAATATTATTAATTTAAATAGACAGCTAACATGTAATTAAACATAATTTTATAAAAATAAAACGCGACATTCACAAAATAACGCATATTTCAATAATTTGAAATATAATATAACTGGTTATCTTTCTTAACAGGCGTATTTGTTTCCGTTACCTTTTTACAGCCGCGTATGAGTAAAAAGCGAAATTTTGCTTGTGATGCGTCCTAGGATAGAGGTTAGTGTTAGCTTGATGACGCGACCGGATTTTTTAAAAAAAATCTTCCTCTTGAGAAAAGTAAAGCCATGATTGGTCATATTTATATGGAAACATCCTCAGGTAGTGTAGATTTAAGTTTGCTTAAATGATGACACCCGGGGGTAGGGTGGGGCCACAATGGATAATCGAAGTTTGACATGGAATATATAGGAAAAAAATTAAAAAATTTCCTTCTTGAGAACAGCAGGAAGATGATTGATCATATTTATATGGAAGTATCCTCAGGTATTGTAGATTCAGGGGGTAGGGCAGGGCCAGCCCACAATGGAAGATCAATGTTTTACATAGGAATATACAGGAAAAATCTTTCAAAATCTTCTTGAGAACAGCAAAGCCATGATTGGTCATATTTATATGGAGCATTCTCAATTACTGTAAATTTAAGTTTGATTTCAACCATTCGGCTTTTATGTCATGTGTGATCATGATCTAAACTTAAAGTGGTGGATCCAAGAGGAGTGGATTTTATCTTCCTGAAAAATTTGTGGCAGATCAAAGGAAATTACTTCTTATGGCTATTTGATGAAAACATTTCAGCTTATATTTCATGTGTACCAGTAATCATGATCTAAATTTATTAGTGGTGGATCCAAGGAGAGTGGATATTACATTTATTTAAAAAAAGATTTTTTTGGTGTATCAAAGGATAATTATAATGATTATGCTAATTGATTTCAACCATTTATCTTACAGTTTGTATGTAATTTGTGATCATGATCTAGACTTACAAGTGGTGGATCCAAGGGGAGCGGGTATTATTTTTTAGCTCACCTCAACGAAGTTGGGGGGAGCTTATGTGATACCCTTGGCGTCGGCGTCCCAGGTTAAGGTTAAGTTTTTTGGAGCAGTTTTCTTTTTAATTACTTCTGTGTCCTATACTGATTAGACATGCATGGAAGATGGTTTTAGTGTGTTTTATTGTACCAGACAAAGTTTCAGATGCTGCAATTTCAGCAAAGGAATTACCAGGTTAATGTTTTTGGAGCAGGTTAACATTTTTGGTGCAGTTTTTGGTGTGGGTTTCATTTACAAGTAACTATAAGCCCTATGTTGACCAAACTTGCTTGGATGATACATCTAAGGATGCATACTACCGTGCTTGCTTCGGATGCTGAATCTGACCTACATTTTCCGGTTGAGTGAACAGGTTAAAGTTTTTGGTGTAGGTTTCATTTCCAAGTAACTATAAGCCCTATGTTGACCAAACTTGCATGGATGATACATCTAAGGATGCATACTACCGGGCTTGCTTCGGATGCTGAATCTGACCTACATTTTCCGGTTGAGTGAACAGGTTAAAGTTTTTGATGAGGGTTTCATTTCCAAGTAACTATAAGCCCTATGTTGACCAAACTTGCATGGATGATACATCTAAGGATGCATACTACCGTGCTTGCTTCGGATGCTGAATCTGACCTACATTTTCCGGTTGAGTGAACAGGTTAAAATTTTGGTGCAGGTTTCATTACCAAGTAACTATAAGCCCTATGTTGACCAAACTTGCATGGATGATACATCTAAGGATGAATACTACCGGGCTTGCTTCGGATGCTGAATCTGACCTACATTTTCCAGTTGAGTGAACAGGTTAAAGTTTTTGGTGCAGGTTTCATTTCCAAGTAACTATAAGCCCTATGTTGACCAAACTTGCATGGATGATACATCTAAGGATGAATACTACCGGGCTTGCTTCGGATGCTGAATCTGACCTACATTTTCCAGTTGAGCGAACAGGTTAATGTTGTTGGTGCAGGTTTCATTTGCAAGTAACTTTAAGCTCTATGTTGACCAAACTTGCATGGATGATACATCTAAGGATGCACACTACCAGGCTTGCTTCAGATGCTGAATCTGACCTACATTTTCCGGTCGAGTGAACAGGTTAAAGTTTTTGGTGTAGGTTTCATTTCCAAGTAACTATAAGCCCTATGTTGACCAAACTTGCATGGATGATACATCTAAGGATGCATACTATCGGGCTTGCTTCGGATGCTGAATCTGACCTACATTTTCCGGTTGAGTGAACAGGTTAAAGTTTTTGATGAGGGTTTCATTTCCAAGTAACTATAAGCCCTATGTTGACCAAACTTGCATGGATGATACATCTAAGGATGCATACTACCGTGCTTGCTTCGGATGCTGAATCTGACCTACATTTTCCGGTTGAGTGAACAGGTTAAAATTTTGGTGCAGGTTTCATTTCCAAGTAACTATAAGCCCTATGTTGACCAAACTTGCATGGATGATACATCTAAGGATGAATACTACCGGGCTTGCTTCGGATGCTGAATCTGACCTACATTTTCCAGTTGAGTGAACAGGTTAAAGTTTTTGGTGCAGGTTTCATTTCCAAGTAACTATAAGCCCTATGTTGACCAAACTTGCATGGATGATACATCTAAGGATGAATACTACCGGGCTTGCTTCGGATGCTGAATCTGACCTACATTTTCCAGTTGAGCGAACAGGTTAATGTTGTTGGTGCAGGTTTCATTTGCAAGTAACTTTAAGCCCTATGTTGACCAAACTTGCATGGATGATACATCTAAGGATGCACACTACCAGGCTTGCTTCAGATGCTGTGATGCTGCAGATGCGGTTGAGTGATTAGTTAAAAGTTTTTGGTGCAGGTTTCATTTCCAAGGAACTATGAGTTCTTTAATGACCAATCTTGCATAGATGATACATCTATGGATGCATACTTCCAGGCTTGCTTCGGATGCTGAATCTGACCTACTTTTTGTGGATGAGTGAAAATGTTAGTTTTGATGCATGTTTCATTTCCAATAAACTATGAGCCCTATAATGAGCAAACTTGCATGGATGATACATCTAAGCATGCACACTAATGGACTTGCTTTGGATGCTGAATTGGACATAGATTTTTCAGATAATAGACAAGGTAAAAGTTATGGTTGCAGGTCTATTACCAAAAACTATAAGGCTTATATAACATTGTATAAACCAAACTTGCACAAATGCTGCATCAAGAGATGAAAACTCTCAAATTTGCTTCAGATGCTGGATTTTCATTACATTTTCATGAAGAAGAAGTAGTTTAAATTTTTTATGTAGGTCTATTTCAAAGTATCAGATCAAAATTGCTTTTAAAAATATTTTCATTTTTGGAATGTATACTTTTTGTTGGTTAATTGTGTGACTTTGCCTTACTTAAAGACAACATTCGTTGAGGTGAGCTCTGTAATCTCTGATTACCTATGTCTAAAAATTTGTGGTAGATTAAAGGATATAAATCATTATGTCTAATTGATTTCAACCACTTATCTTATTTGTCATGTGTGATAATGATCTAAACTTACAAGTGGTGGATCCAAGGGGAGTGGATATTACTTTTTATTTAAGTTTGTTGTGGATCAGAGGATATTAGTGATTATGGCTTATTGATTTCAAACATTTAGCTTACATGTCATGTGTGATCATGATCTAAACATAAGTGATGGATCCAAGGGGAGTGTATATTATTTTTTTTTAAGTTTGTGGCGGATCAACAGATATTAGTAATTATGGCTAATTGATTTCAATAGAAATAAATATTTTCAAATGAATAAAATTTTAAAAAAATATTTCAATAGGACTAAATATTTTTATATATTCAGTTAAAAAAAATGAAAATTTGAAAAGTTTACGACAACGCCAATGAGGATGCTTCAAAATGACCTAGTTAATGTACTAAACTGTGATCTAACGAAGCATTCATTGAAGTACACATATCCTCATATTAAGGTATTTTTAATCCTATGGGATAAAAATTCCCAAATTACACTTTATAGAGCTAATATGGGATTTTTAATCCCATTTCTTCAATAATGGGTAAAAAAAATCCCATGACGGGATAAAAAATCCCATGGGAGGAAAAATCCCTCACAGTTTTTTTTCTCCCGTGGGATTTTGGTGGGATTTTAGGTGGGATGAAAAATCCCCCCATTCTCCCATGGGATTTTTAGTTTTGAGAGAAGTTTGTAAGAAAACTACAACATTGTGGAAGTTGAAATTGACATGATGAGATGAGAATAAAAAATCCCACCAAACTTCAGGAAAATTTTTAAATTATGTCTTTTCGAAAGGGTACCTTAAAGTCCAGACTTTGTCGTGTCCGGACTTATATGTCGCACTGTTTTATGATGAACAAGAGTGCCTCTTCCAGAATTTTGAATTTTATGGCCCCAGGGTAGGGTTCTGGTGTTAGTGCGGGGCTCTATTGATTATATGGTGAAAATGCATTAATTCTTCGTAAATCTTCTCTGCCTCTGGATATTAAATGAACTAAGTGCACAGTTATGATGAAGAGCTCCTGTTCCAGAATTTTGTATTTTATGGCCCCATGTTCAGGGGTTATGGTGTTAGGGCAGGGCTCTAATGATTATATACTATTAGTGAAAATACATTACATCTATGAAGATCTTCTCCCTATTCCTGGGTAATAAGCAGATGAACTAACTATAAAGTTATATAAAGACTCTTCCAGAATTGTGAATTTCAAGGCCCCTTTGGTCAGGAATACCAGAGGGGTGGTTGTGGGGGCTCTACTTATATACTGAAAATGATTGTTTGAAATCTACTCCTTATAATTAACCAAACATTTTTGATAAGCAAGGGTGCCTTTTCAAAAATTGTGCAATGTGTATACTTAGGGTCAGGGGTTCATGTGTGGTAGGGGCACTTCTGATTATTGCTGAATATTACTGATTAGTCAAAATGCATGTTTTGTTCCCCTACCCTTCTTATGGGTATTAAGTAAACAAACTAAACAATTGCTAAGTGTATAGTTATGATTAGCAAGGGTGACTATTTCAAAATTGTGAATGCCATAGCATCTGGCTTAAAACATGAACCAAATTCAATTATTTGAAAGTTGTTGCATGATGCTCAGATGACCTATAAGGCCCATGGGCCTCTTGTTTATCCTGCATACAGGTCTGTTAATAC